AAGTTTTATCACTATTTTAGAATTCATTTTTCATGAAGACGTTAGTATCAAAGAAGTAGAGTTAGAAGATTCGTAACCGATGTTGAAACACATTTTATGATAATGCGGTGTTTTGAAACATTTATAACAGAAAGTAAAACTTGCCGCATTACTGTGAAGAATTCTAGGTTGCAGTTATGAGCAAAATCACTTTCATATTACCGAAGGGCCTAGCAGCGGCCGAGCGGTAAAGTCGCTGAACACTGGTTGTTCGATCCGAGGTTCGAATCCTGGCGAACGGGATGGCTACATGGGCGTTTTCGTGGTTTTCCCCATGTGTAACGTGTATACGAGCCAGTTTCCCTTAGAACATCCTCCACGAAGGCATCCCCCCCTTAGGCAAATAGCCCTCGAAGCTTTGCCATAATCACACACACACACACACACACACACATATTACCGAAGATAGAACTTGTCGACTAAAACACCTTTCTCTGGAATTTCTGAAATTTACTTGTAATAGAAAGCATTTATTCACTGAACGAAAACAATAATACTACTTAGATGTATTAAAAATTCAGCATTGAAATTGTTGACTTTTGTACTGCTAAGACAGCCATTTCCTCATTTCTGATGCAAATAATATTGAAAAGTATTGACTGTAGTTGAAAGCAGTTTACAGCAGACATAATGTTCACTTGAAATCTAAATTAAATGCAACTCAAGATGTTAAGAACAGAATGTGAATGGATCCTATTCCTGAGCAGTTGAATATGACAAGAAGTAATAACAGGCCGAGATGAATTTTGGGCAAGAAAACTTATTTATAGCTAAACAAGACGATATTATCGAAACCTAAAAGCACTTCAGCTAAAGTAACGTCTACGTCGATTAACATTTCTTCCATTAAGTTCAATAAATATTTTGAAATTCGAAACTCAAGGAAAAAGAAGGTTGGAATTGTAATGATTAAGGTTTTGAAAATGAAATTAAGTTCATTGCAGTATCTTACTCTTCGGTATTACTCTAATTCATGATATTTCAATTATTCTGATAAACTATCCTGTCTAACTAAATCGTTTCTAACTCATATAATATACCGATATACGCATTTATATAAATTTGAATTCATTCTTTAAAGCCCCCGTTAGCAAGACGCTCTGTCGTTTATAACCGCTTTCTTATTTCCCCGTTGTGTTATTTCTCGATAATCTTATGTATTGTATTATTCCTTTAGTAACTGCTTACATGCTTCCTTTAGAGAACAATTTTATAACGGTTGTTTTGATAAAATTAGCAAAGAAAAAACTTTATGTTTGGCTTTGCTTTTGATGCAGAAGTTCTGTACCTGGTTGCTCTCGAAATTGATTGAGGTCTTGATTCCATTTACGCCAAACACAGATTGTTGCTTTGCTAAATTTATGTTTCGTTTTGTGATGTTTCTCTTCTGTTTTGGTTGTCTTGATGCTAATTATCTAGTCAGAATTATATAAGAATAAACGAAGGTATGTAGGTAAATCTATCCAATAACCTTTCACGATATAGTTTTAAAAGTATAAAAAGAAATATTTGTATTTGTTGATATGCCCTGTGAGGAAAGGCATATCATCAAACCACTTCTCAAACAATTTTACCAATCGTAATTCTTTTCTACTTGTGTGTCTAGCAATGATAAGTCGCGTGTGATTTCCTTCTTAAAAAATCTGCACTCTAGTATGCAGTAGCCTGGGAATGTCTACAACAGGTATGTAGAAAATACAAATGCTACTTATATGATAAATGCCCGTTTGCTTTCCTTTCTATGTGATGTTTTAATAAAAAATAAATTAAAAGACTACGCAATTCTACTCTTATCAACAATATAATGAATGATGCGTCGTGGGATTAAAGCAAATCAATGTCAAAGGCCCTGCCTACTGGACTCGTGAAGAAAAAGCTTGACCCACAAATTAGTAGTTAAGCATATGGTTTATTGAAATTACGGCAAAACCCACTGGGGCTATCTGCTTAAGGGGAGGACGTTCTAAGGAAAACTGGCTCGTATACATGTTACACATGGGGAAAACCACAAAAACGCCCATTCAGCCAGCCCGTTCGTGGGATTCGAACCTCGAACCGAACTACCAGTGTTCAGCGACTTTACCGCTGGGCCACTGGTGAGCCTAATAGTTCAGCATAACTGCACACGTACACTGCGCAAAAAATAAAATGAGACAGTTCTCCCGTTCTATTGGGCCGACTGACGAAATTCAAATTGCTTTTTTCATGTCTCGAAAGCGCGACTTAGAATATATATTAGATTTATATATAATATTGTTCTAACATGGTTTTTTTGACACAAAATGGGACTTTTTTTAAAATAACATACCCATTTTTTTCCCATATTTGGATTCTACGATTCAAATTGTGCATAAATATTAAATTTTGTAACCTTTTGTGCGAAATTTACGGAGACGTTCAAAAATTTATCTTCGCGCGTTTTTTTTTTTTTTTTTTTTTTTTTTTTTTTTTTTTTTTTTTTTTTTTTTCAGTTTGCGCCTAGAATTATTTACTCGGCGAATTCTTAATATATAGCAACCTATTTTCCTTTCCGTTCCATTGTACAGCAGCATAAAAAAATCACATCATTCCTACCTTTTTTCATTGTGCATGAGCGGAAAATTCACATCGTTCCTACTTTCAAATAATTTTAACAAAGTGCCTAAACTACATTTCATGTTATTATCGCTTTCAGCAAATATGCCAAATTTCAAAACGCGCCAATATATGAATTCACGTATATCTTGGAAAATTTTGAATAAAAAACTGTATTTTTTTGCAGGTATACTTAGAAATACATCTACTTTAAGATGATATTAAAAATGTTATAGATTATAATTCAAATATTTTTGAAAAATTTTTAAAAATTGTTTTAAAATACAAATTTTAAAATTAAATCATAAAAATGGGCGAATTTTATTTGGAATGAACTTAAATTTCGAAATGTGAAAGAAAGAGTCAAATAAGTTTAGCAAAAATAAAGAGAGAATAATATATATATACAAAATTTAATTAACATTAAGGAGCTAAAATTTTGAGAGCTAGTGTTTTAAAAACTACTCGTGCAATTTTTACAAAGTTTAGTAATTTAGCATAATTTGAGTCGTAGAATTGAAATAAGGAACAAAATGGCACGTCATTTCAGGAAAAGTCCGATTTTGAGTCAAAATCACTATATTAGAACAATGCTATATATAAGTCTAATATAGCCAACAACAGAATGCACGAAAGACTGTTACTTACTCTAGCAACTAACTAGACAGTTTTCCTATAATGAAGATGAAAATGCATAGTATGGCTTGGTATACACTACGAATGCCAAATAAATATTGTTAACTCAAGTTCTCAACTTTCAGCTTTTAAATGTTTTAATCGAAATAATTATTCACTTTCCTCGAAAATACAACTTCAAGCTCTCGATTTCAATATAGCTCTACTGAATAAGTTACTAAATTACGAAACGATTTTAAGTCATATTGCGTTACAACAAACTTCAGGTACAAAATATAGTGAAGTCATAGCACCAAATTTTTATCTCTCCTCTCATGTAAAAAAAAAAAATAAATAAATACTGAATAAGTTACTAAATTACGAAACGATTTTAAGTGACATTGCGTTACAACAAACTTCAGGTACAAAATATAGTGAAGTCATAGCACCAAATTTTTATCTCTCCTCTCATGTAAAAAAAAAAAAAAAAAAAAGTATTCTTTCAAACTTTCTCTCGATGCCGAATTCTGAGAAGTCAGCTCTAGGATGAGTTAGAATACAGATAACACGATGTTTGATTAATCAAAAGGCATTAGATAAATCTGAAAATCAGTTTCAATGACAACGTAAATTAACTACCAATCCTTTGGAACTTTCAAAATGCTTCTGTGATATCTGAAGCTGAAATATCGCTCCAATAAATTTTGATCCAATGCATTCGAGAAGCTTTGTTCTCCTAATTTAATTCAAATCAAATTCTGTTGGCAAGAAAGCATTTTAATTAAAGCTATGGAGATCAATGAGAATTCAAATTGGAAATTCAAAGCTTTTCAAATCTATCTCTAACCAAATTTTCTTAAAAATAATTATTTTAAATTTGAATTTAAATTACATTAACTTCGAGATCAAAAACATATTTTAGTTTTTTGTTCTTGAATTAAAAATAATAAAATTTGATGTTAATGTAATTAAATATTGGATTAAATCTTAATTGTTCTTTTTGTAAATTTCATTCTTGATAAGCTTAGGATACAAAAATTTAGCAACGTTAATTTGTGGATTTTAATACATTTCATATGAAAAGAAAATAAAAATGTAGTTGATCTTTAAATTCTAGTTATGTAATCGTAATAATAAATGACAAAATAATTAGAATCTTATGCTTAATAATTAAGTAAAAATTATGCAGAAAAGTAACCAGATAACGCGAAAGAGGCCTCAGATGAAAACTAGAATAATATGTATTTTTAGGTAGCAAGCATCACATTCACGCGTTACATCATATCCATTCATATCCATCAAGATATATATTCCAAATATTTAACGGCCCCAGATGGGAACTATATTGATGTATTGCACCTAAAAAATAAATCTCAGGAAACTGAGATCTTCCACATGCTTCTAGAAATGGAGGATAGGGAAATGCGCAGGCTAAAAATATAAGTTTGCTCGGTAACTAAAATACTGTCGACAGTTTGAATTCCTCGAAATCAAATAGTAAAAATAAATTCTAGAAGTCAATACACAAAGGAGAAACAGAGGTATCCTGTGTCAGATATACGCAATCCTGTATCATTTTCAGAAAATGCAAAACTATCTAGTATAGCGTTTCAATATTTCAAACGAAATTGAAACGTAAGAAATCGAGAAGCCAAACGAAAAAAAATATTGAAACATTCATATTGAAAGCGATATAAAAGATGGTTTTTGCTACTATAAGAAACTTTATTTGGGAATTGCGAGATCAGAGAAAAGGGAATAAATATTTGTACCTGGTTTCCCTGGAGGTCCTGGATCTCCTGGTGGACAATGCTGCCTTGCAGAAAAGCAAAACTCCTGCAGAACTTGAATCTGGGAAAGAAAAATTTAATTTTAACTTGACTGCATAAGATATAGTACTAAATTAAAATGCTTTCAAATATATGTTTACAAACAAAAGACTCAAAGATTGTATAATTTTCTGAATATAAATATTGTAACTAAGAGTTAATGTAAGTATGAAAGAAGCATCAAACGGTAATAACATGATGATTAGCTATGTAGTCTGTAATTATGATTAGTTCACATATCAAATTATTACTGCAGCTTTTATCATATTAACGGGAACAGATTTCGGACCTTCGAAACATTAAGCTCAAATACACATATAATAGGTTTAAATAAAGCTAAAATTAAAATTATCTTTGCTGGCAGTAATTAGCATTATATTTTTATGCATACAAATTCAGTTGTAATATTACATATTTCCATATTATATAAATATTGCAAACTTCAACATTAATTATGCAGTTCAAAAACACAATTAAGAATAAATATGCGCTCAGCCGCATTAGAGACTGCACTACTATTGCTAAAAGCATTGCTGACAGCCTGGAGTGACTTCTTTCCTTGGACACTGTGCCGTTCAGCAGCACGCTCCTTACTATGTTAATTTTACTTAATGTCTTTTTTTTTTTTTTTTTTTTTTTTTTTTTTTGGCTGTTGCTGTTGTTGATTTTATGTTGCTGTTTTAAATTATATTTAATATTATGATTAATCCAGAACTCATTTAATGTATTCCACAATTTTTAATGTATTTGATCATCTTTACATCTATACCTCCTTATTATAGTCCATCCTTAATATAACTGTATGCCTAACATGTACCATAATACTGAAATGTGTTCCACTTAGTCTTAGCAGTCCCCACCATGCACCTTCATTCCATGTTCTGGTCCTTACTTCAATGTTCCTCGTTTCGTAGCCAATCCCCGGAGGACACAGTATTAAGCTCTTTAATTATATTTATTTATGTATTTATTTTTAATTCAATCGACGGGATCCAACAGGCTTAAAAGCACCTAAAGCAGTGGGCAAGCTGTTCCTTTGATGGTGAAAAGAAAGAAAATAATTATACAGCATATTTAAACGCAACAAAATTGTAATATATATATATATATATATATATATATATATATATTTTAATTTACTGAAAATATTTACATGAATAGAAATGCTCTCGATCATTTGAATTACTATTTAAGTATGAATGCTAGGAATGTATAATTATTTAATGTCATCTTATTGGTGAATATTTATGCAAACATTTGTGGATTGTTTGTTTTCATTTATTTTATCATTTATTTTGCTTGATTTATTTTATTGAAATTTTGGGAATATTTCTTGCATGTTTTCTGTGCAATTTATCTAGCGGCCCTGCTAAGATCTTGTTGGATTTTTTACTTAAAAATTAACTTTATAGTTTCCACTTTTGGTTCATCTTGTCACCATTTTTCACTCATTCAGCGCTGTGAAAAATTATTTTAGCTATCTAAATATTAATACTTGATAATCATGGTATAAGGTCGTTTTCCTGTATCTGTTTCAAACTATGATTACTAGTACAGTTACCATAAAGTTTATGCCAATTTCGTAGTACTTAACTAGCGGATAATAAGTGCATTTTCTTTGTTGTATAGTTTTTTATTATTTTTAGTGTTGGCATATCTGTGTAAATATACGTTGAAATTGTGTAAACAGCACAAGCAGAACGAAAGACTTAGTCTTTTAAGTTGTATGAGGCCCACCAGCGGCCGAGCGGTAAAGTCGCTGAACACTGGTAGTTCGGTCCGAGGTTCGAATCCCGCGAACGGGCTGGCTGCATGGGTGTTTTCGTGGTTTTCCCCATGTGTAACGTGTATACGAGCCAGTTTCCCTTAAAAAGTCCTCCACGAAAGGCATCCCTCCCCTTAGGCAGACAGCCCTAGTGTGCTTTGCCATAATTAAATACACCAAATTTAAGTTGTATGAAATGTTCACCACATTTGGCGATTTGAACCAAGCTTGGCAGCATTTTTGAAGATTTCTAAGTAAAAAATTTTCGAGAATGTTAAGGGAAATGTTGAAATGTTAAGGACACTGTTAATATATTCGAAAATGGTTATAAAATATAATCAAATGAGTAAAAGAGGAATACTCCAATTAAAATCCAAAACATTCCAATAAACTAAAAATTAAGAATGTCAGTAAAGAAAACTATGAATTACAATTTGAAGACTCCATAAATTCCAAACTACGAAGTCGTCAAGAAAAATTAGAACAAAGATAAAATAAAAAATGATTTAATAAAAACCAAAAGGTAACAAGTTTGAAAGTTAGAAATATTGTAAAAGAAAAAGTGACAGATGGGAAAAATTGCCTTCCAAGCACTAGCTAATAGTAGTGGAAGAGCATATTAATTGAGATGCACAAATTGCAAATAAAAATTATAGCGCTATCATAGAAAATTATCGAAAAATGAACAATTGAAAAGAAGCAAAATAATACTGACTCTTCAGGGGAAATTGGCTCATTTCACCCTCTTCCCAACTGCTCAGACATCATGTTTTGCCCTTGCCATGCGCATGTAAATTAAAAGATATTATACTGAAGTATTTAATTCCATTTAGCATAACATGTAAATCTGTGATAATTTTCTATGATATTGCTATCATTTTTATTTGCAAATTGTGCATTTAAATTTATATGCTTTCCCACTACGACTAGTTAATCCTTGCAAGCCAATTTTTCCCATCTGTCACCTTTTTCCTTTACAGTATTTCTAATTCTCAAAATTTTTACCTTTTGGTTTTTGTTAAATAATTTTTTATTTTACTTTTGGTTCTAATTTTTCTTCCCTTTCCTATTACGACTTTGTAGTTTGGAATTTATGAATTCTTCAAATTGTAATTCTTAGTTCTCTTTATTGGCAGTCTTAATTTTTTACTTTATTGGACTTTATTGGATTTGAATAGGAATATTCCCTTACATTAATTTCATTACGTTTAATTAAATCATTGCAGAGTTGGCGCAGGATTCTTAAATAGTCTTTTTTTCTTTTGGAAATGCTAATATATAAATAGAAAGTTGTAAACGAAAAAGAGAGACATATATGGTCAAGAATTTGGCGCAATGAGCTGCAAAATTTTTAAATATTTGCACAGAAGAGGAAAGTTCAAAATAGCTAATGCTTAAAAGTACATTTGATACTGCAGTTACAGAGTAAAAACGTTACACCAAGTATAAATTATAATATAATACTAAAGCAGTAAAAATCTACAGTAATAACTATAAAACGATATAAACGTCAAAATCAAAAAGGGATTAGAAAATACTAAAAAAATTTGAAATGAAAAGTTATTAATTTGGTTAAATAAAAAAAATGTCTATTAAAAATGTCCTCAATTCTTTGAAAAACTAGAGACCGTTTATATAGCAAAGTAAAACGAAAAATTCACCTGCAAATTAAACGGCCTCAGATTCAACTTCCACTGAGGTATATAATTTCAATCTCTCAAATCCATTACCAAAACGAATGCATATCAGCATTGCTAATGCCAGTAGAATTATCAACAGCTCGCTATGAATCTGAAATCACACACTGATTTAATTTGACAGCTTGACGTTCACAATGCAGGAGTTTGTGTACAACCCCTCCTCCTCCTGGCAAAAGGTCCTAATGCAAGTTACGTGCTCCTTCCACTTCCCTGGTGAATTCTACGACAAGGTCGACTGATTGAAATCAAATCCCGGTTCGCGACACGATGTGCGGATAGAAGGAAGAAGTACTATTGAGGGGAGGGCCGTAGATGAACGTGCGCTGATGCGGCTTAGTTGCCTATAATTAGAACAGGGTATCCTCAGGGAAAGCCATGTAGGAGGACTTCATTAAAAGAGCACTTGCCCGGAGAAGAATTTCGCTGATGGATCAAGAATAATGAGAAATGTAAGCTTTCATTGCCTTCTCCATAACAATAATGGGAGTTTGGTAGCATACCAAGCCTAGATAAAGAAAGGGGAAGGATATTATTAAAATTAAATCAAGAACGTGAACTCGAATTTGTGAAACAAGCATTTATAAATTCCAAACTTCTCCGCAAAGAGTTAAGATACCCTTGGTAAATATTTCGTCGAATAGTGTAATGAATCTTGAAATTCCTTTGCGGCGTTTTTTCCATATGTTTCCGCATAATTTTTTTTTTTTTTTAAGAATACGTAACCGAATATTTCAGACATTTCCAAACAGGTAGATTCAATTGCCTGGAAATGTCTAAAGTAAATACATTTGCATCTATACGTAATATAGAATCTATATTTTCTCCCTCCTTTCTGCATACCTACGTCGTGTAACGGTTAGCACACTCGACGCGTATTCGAGAGGTCCAGGTTCGAGTCTCGGTGAGGGTATTGCAAATTTTTCATATCTCCTGCTTCAAAATAACCTAACGTCTCCCGACCTAAAATGTGGTGGCCCAAAAGTGGCCCCCGAACTAAAAGGTGGTGTATGATGATTCTTCACCATCAGGATTTGGCGATTGGGTAGTCGCCCTTTAAAATTCTGCATGCCTTCGTGGTGTAACACACTGCGAAAGTATATGGGAATTTGTGAAATACTTTAAAACAGGGTAATAAAATCATGCTTATCTCTTTATCTGAGTACACCGAGGCTATCTGCCTTTTAAACAGATAATCTACGTGCACTTTGCTGATGCATTCTTGTAGGACTTCCTAAGCAAAATTTGCTTGTGTTTATATAATGCAGAGAGCAAACTATAATAAAAAACTCATGCAGTCAACAAATTTCACCCATATTTTAAAATGTCCAAATGTTTTATCCATCGGGTCATTGGTAGGAGGGTAAACGAGATTTTGTACAGACTATTATGATTTTTTTCAGACACAAAGACGTGAAAGTTACTACGTAATCACGTAACACTACTAGAGAAAGTACGACAGAATGAAATAATGTTTTCCATTCTACGCCATATAAAGTCCGACTGCCATATAAAGTCTAACAAATTCAGATCGTAATGAGTTATCACCGCCCTGTTCTA